CAAATTTGGAGCAATTTTCTTGAAAAATATTCCTGACATAAAGGCAACTCCTCCCCTTACAAAACATGAAGATGCTCTAACTCACCCCAAAAATGCTGCATAGTTATTTAAAATGCATTTTAACTTGTATTGTTTTATTTTTAAAAATATTTTCTTAAAGTGTATTCCATTTTTATTCTTAGAATACATTTGACTGAAATTTTCCCTCCCCCTCACAAATTCAGCCTAAGGTAGACACCAAGCTCAGAAAATGAACGGTTGCATTTTGGCAACGTTTTAAGCTATGTTATAGAGGTTATAGCATTTTTGGTCCATTCGTTCTATCTGAAGGTGATTGGGCCAGCTGTTAAACAGATGTAAATCAGAGTAGCTGCATTGTGAGGTAGCATCTTTTTTTTCCCCACCCGAGATGAGGATCTAGCTGCTTATTTTGGCTCTCCTTTTAATATGGTGATGTCCAGGCATTCCAGGTGCAACATAGTGTTTTGGAAAGGTCAAGATTTCCTGCCCTTGACAGTTAATAGGCAGCAAAAAACAAGCAGAAATCACCCACAGGTATCTTGGTGTGGGATGTTCGTAACAGTCACAGCATAGTTAAAATGTATATCTCTGATTCAGTAGACCAGGGTAGAGTGGTAAAGGCAAGGATAAAGAGAGAGAAACAGCTGATATGTGCTGTACTTCAAGTATCCATAGCTTGCATGTGTTGTCTCGGCACAACTTAGAGCACCCCATGACAGAGCCCCATGACAAAGAATCAGCAGGTCCTCAGATGTTCCTTTTTTTTCCTCCTTTCCTGGGCAATGTTGGGTGTCTGTGTGAGGTAGAAGAGCTATCCCTTCCTATGTACATACTTCTGTAAACTCAGGCAGAGCCAATCAGATTCCTATCTTGTTCTGAGCGCTCAATAAGGAAGCTCCTTCCTGCGAGAGGACCGACTTCAACAGTTTTGCTTAAAAATTATCAAATGCAAATTCACATTCAAGTTTTCTTTCAGTCACCCTAGATTTAGAGTCTCAAGGGCCATAAGTAACGCCCAGGCAATATGTCGGACACCACTGTTTCACCGAGGTTTCAAATGTGAGCATTTAAAAATATAGGCTGCTGAATCTACATGCAGCTGCCTGAATGAATGCTCAGGGGTCTAAGATGGACATGTAACCATTAAATGAAGATTTAAGGGTTTGAGGGTCAAATTAATCTCTGGAGTAACTCCACTGAAATCAACAAATGTATGCCAGGAATGAATTAAGAAATGTTTTCCTGAATCACATATTTCTTTTCAGATGTTCTCTTTGTAAAATGCCATCTTCTGCCATCCTAACATACTAGGCTTGTGTCTCTAGAAGAGACTTCTTATCCATATTCATCTTACCTACGTTCCCAAGCAGCAGCATAACTAGGGAGGAATGACCAGGGCGGCTATCCCGGGTGCTGACTTAGGAGGTTGGGATCAAAAAAAATGCTGCCGCTGCAGCGGCACAATTGTGTGAGTGGCACAGCAACATCTGAAAATGGCTGCTGCCCCCATATGAGACAGCTGTGGGTCTTAGCTGTGTTTTTATGCTTCTGTTCTCAGGGGCAGAACCAGGCATGTGGTTGCACGGTCCCACCCACCTTCAGCTGTGCCACATATGAGCTCTCATTGAAGGGTCTGCCCAAAGCCCCTGCTTTCATGAGACTCTGGAGATGGTGAATGCTGTCACCATTGCTCTGCTGCTCATCCCCTCCTTCCAGATCCTACCACATTCAGCTGCTGAGTTCATGCACAACACAGCCAAAACCACACCCCTCTTGCCCCATTCCTGGATCTGCTACTATATATTCCTAGTGACTTACAAACTGAGGAACAAACCAGTCACACTGTTAGGGTGATAGCTGGATGACAAATTCTCTTTTAATAATGATTTCTTTCGGCCCCTTCTTTTTCTGCTGGAGATACATAGCTCTCCATGTTGTGCTGCTTCACACACTTCCTTTGGCAGATGGCATCAATTCTCACCTGTTTAAAGGAGGAATCTTTGAGACCATTTCACGTGTTAAAAATAGCTCCTCACTAATTTTTGCCAAAGAAGTTTTCTTTTCTATTTTGCTAAAAAGGATTTGGGCTTCCAGCTTCTGTTTTTCAGAATACCTGGCCTCTGTTTTTGCTCATTCTTCTGGCTACATGTTGAACAAATATTTTGCTCAGGCCACAAACCCTTTAACTATGCAGGAGGCAAAAATGCCTGAGTACTGAGAGTTTGAGGCTTTTAACCACTAACACCTAAATAGATGTGCTAAGTAGGCCCTTATACTATACTCATCACCATACTACCTGAACACCTGCCAGAAGGGTATTCAGCAATGACATCTGTCATATGTTTAGTCTCTCCTCCAGGGAGAGGCACAGGCTTTAGAGTGCTGAGTTTGTGAGAAACAAGGTGATTTGGGGTTTTTTCTGTTCTTTTTTTAGATTAATTGGTTTTGTAACAGACAAATGTGCATGTTGCTCTGCATCCACATTAAGGAAGGAAGGCCACAGAAATGTATCTCATTTGGAGCAGAAATGGGTGAGCTTTGGGATGGTCCTGGAGGAGGTTCATTTCACCATCACAAACCAGCCACTGACAAAGCTGTGTCCTGTTATGTTATAAAAATTGAACTAGGAGGGCACTTCAGCACCAGACAGAACTAGAATCTTACTGGAAGAGTCCCCAAGTGGAAGTGGTGATAGCCTAGTCCCTCAAGACATTTAAAACTAGCTTAGAAAAATCCAAACTATAAGCAACCATCTTATATATTGGCCAGCCAGAAAGGATGGATAAAATGGCCTAAGACTGTTTTTCGATCTGTAGTTTCTATGAATATGAGCCAGGAAGTGAGGGTGTGTGCACATATGCGTGTGAGCTTGTTCAGACCCATATGTAGAGCTAAAGATTATAACTCATTCTTGTTTGTGTAGTGCAATAAACCAAAATCCCAGGTCTGAAATTTGGAAAATTCTGAATCTAGCATGGAGATTTCATTCTTCCTCAAAACAGATTCAGAGAAGCTGCAAAGGAAAGGATGCTGAGTCTTGATGTCTGCACAAAGGTGTAATTAGTTCTTCTGCAAGAAACTATAACTTATTCTGAAATGTGTTTCTTTAGCTCTTTCAGGCAATTTTATTTCCAAAGTATTTCTGTATGGTATGTTATGCTACAACTCATGTGTCTCAGGAAAGCCATCAAGCAACCGGGTTATGTCCACTCACATGTAGCTGTGACCCATTTAACTTTTTCCTCCCCTTCTGTTATCACTCCAAGATCTATGGTGGATGGGAACTAGACAGGAGGAGCTAAGTGGCTGAGGAGAATGTGCTTCTGGGGATCTTTATACTGCAAGTCCCAAGCTCATAGGAATAAAAGGGAGATGAGGATAAGTAGAAGCTGGACGTAAATGAGGAAGTGATTTGCTGTCCTGCTTAAGCTCCAGAGCAGTTAAAAGTTTTTAACAGGGTAAGTTTATATCCCATAAAAAGAGCAGCTAATGGCCTGATTCTCTTCTTTGCACTGGTATAACTTGGCAGTGACTCTACCAGAAGCAATGCAGCTGCCTTGGGTATCTGAGAATAGATAGACCAGGCCTCAGAACTTTTTCTGCTTTGGTAGTAAGCTACTTTTGCTATTAAGAAGGAGACTAACCTTCTTCTTACCTCTTTGTACTTCCCTTTTTAATAAACTCTCATTGGATCAAGTATATTCCAATAAAAATATTCTTCCTTTCTTGTGCTTTTATTTCACTTTTCTTACCAGCATTCGGAAGAGACATACAGTGAAATTGTTCATGTTGACAAGCCCATCCTCTCTCTCGAAAACTGTCACCTAATCACAACCAACCCTTACAATCACAAAGTGAATACCTACCATTCACTGGCAAGCTGTTCCTCCCAGAGGAGGAATAAAAAAGATCCGATTTCTCAAATTTAATTTAGTTAGGTTTTTTTTTTGCTATACAGCCCAGCCTAATTGACTGGCAAGCAGCTGAACGGGAAGTGAGCTGGACTAGAAAAACACAACATGAGCAGAAGAGAAAAGTCAGTTACTGCAGCCATAGCCCCTAAACTTTTGGACTCTGGCACTGCACTTGTGTAGTCATATTGCCAAGGAAAACAAAACAAGCCAAAAAATGTAAGACATGAAGTGTCCTTGCCAGTGAAAACAAAATAAACTACTTACTACTACCTCAAGGACTAATTGCCCTTATGCTAATAATTTTCAGATTCATAAATATGGGAAATCACTGAATGTCAAGACTTTCTAAACAAGTTTTCCATGGGATCAGAGTAATCAGAGCAGAAAGTGGACTGGTAAGTTTACCATATCTCTTCTCCTAACTATGCAGGATATACAGTAATGAAAGACTTGCTCTGATCTGAGCCCTGTGGGTGAATATGATGAAATCCTACCCATAACATCCCCAGCTGTCATGTCTTACTGTCGCCTGTGACTCAATCCTTGGAGTTATTTCTTGGTCCTAAGAATTCCAGACTGTCAGCTGATTATACTTCCAGAGCTCCTTCCTGGCCCGGGGATAAACCCTAAGGTTTGAATCTGTATTGTGACATCCTGACACATTTTTCCTGTAATCACAATTAGAAGGAAGCTGCATGCATAATGTCTCGAAGATATGCTTTGCTTCAGCCTTACAAAGTCTTTTGAAATGTCTCAAACAGAGAAAGTCTCTGAAAAGTCAAGTTCAGGTTGTGACCAATACAGAATGGAGCATGACTCTCCAAACTGGTCTGATTACACTGCATCCATGTAAACTAAATCCATGTACCCAGAGCTGGATGCATTATAAGTTTTGCCAGTTATTTGCACGTCTTTAAGGTTTTTTAATAATTCTGCCTTTCACTGTCCATGGAAATCCCCAGTGAAAGCCACAAACATAAACATAGCAGTAGAAGATGCATATGACACAAAAGGGATTCATAGATACTAAATAACAGTAATAGCAGACATGGGTATATAGGTTAAAAACAACCTTTGTTTATTTAAATGTGTAAAGTACTTAGGAGGGAAAAAGAATATATCATACTATGGCAATACAGACAGCATATACCATAACAAACTCACCCGTTATTCCAGGCTACTCTTTCCAACCTCCTAATTTTCTCACACTTATGATCCGTTGTGAAACTCTCACAGATCCCCTGATCCAGGTGATTATAAACCACAGACAGATTCAGCCAGTACTGGCCATCCCGCCTACAGGTATCAGGAGCTGAGCTGAGTTTAGCTGAGCACCATCTTTCCATCAAGGGAGATAGGAAAGCTGAAATATATCAAACCCTTCTCTCACAAAGAAAGAGCCTACATTGTTAGTTAAGTAGCCTCAGTGAACAGCTGATCCTATGACAAATTGTCAGGGCGTCTGTCTTAACTTTATCCCAGATGTGGCTCACCGGTGGGATGAAAAGCCTAAAGCAGCAGAGACTGTGAGAGATGCTACTACACTTATCAAAAGCCCTTTCCACCTATACTTTTTATTTCATGTTCTTCTCAATCCAGTCTTTGAATGGAACAGCTTTAGTGTAGCCACTGTAGAGTTCTAGGCTACAAGTTTTATCATAGCCCCAGCTCACTAATCCCATCAGGTGCCACCTTAATTCAGGAGATTCTTTTCCTGGCAAAGTGATGGCTGCAATCCCTCCAGTCTCAGCAGGGCAAATATTAGAAAAAGCTGTGTGGTCCTGCTGGGCACAGAACATGCTCTCAGTGATGCTGACCTGGATTCCATGATCCTCATACTGCTGTTCACACAACAGTGAGTCCACAATCTGAACAGCTCCCATGCGGATTGTGTCATTCTTGTAGCTGGGATCTCTAATATCAGCCAATATTTTCCAGCCAGAAATCATTATTTTTAGATCCTCCATGGATGAGGCCAAGTCATGAGCAGATGCCAGGCAAATTGGTTGAACGCGGCTACTGATTTTGGCTTTGTCCAAGAGTTTTATGATGGCTATGTCAGTATCAAGCAATATAGGGTCGTAGTTTGGATGCACTATGATGGCAGAAATCTAAGGAGAAACCAGAATGGGAAATTTACAGGGTCATTAATAATGGACAGTTGATGGACAATTGGTGACAACTTTTCTCTGGTATTTTCCCATATTGTTTCAGATGATTTTGCAACCTGCAAATGTTCCTTTGCCATGCAATAACCATGCATTCAAATAGCTATTTTAAAGCAGAGACATACAAACAATTCAAGTGTTTCAAAAATAGCTTTACTTCAAGCAAAAAAGTATTTATGAAACACTGTCAATTTTTTTTCATCAAGATGAAGCTATTTGAAAGCCATTCAGACCAATTTTATTTTCCCCACCTTCGTGCATGACCATCTTCTGAATGTCATCTTCATTATGTATGCCTATAATTTTTGGTCCCTGTAGCTAAATTAAAATAGATCTTACAGAATTTCTTCTATTCATTCACCAAAAAAAAAAAAAGAAAGTAACTGCATTATGCAATCCAGTAAAACTCTAAAGCCTAATGTTTTGTTCCTTGCCACAGGAAAGAAAGCACAGGAGGCAGGAATTGTGTAGCAAGACTGTTTAGTCAGGAATAGTCAGGAATAATCAGCGAAAAAGTCTAGCCACCAAATGCTAGCATTGGATATGAGAAGGAGAGCATAAAGTGAATGTAAGAAATGGAACAAAACGACCATGCCTAACTGGAGAGAATGCATTAATGAACTTGGGTTCATAAAAAGAGAAAATCATTCAAAATTGTTGACTTTCTCCTGCCTTTGTTCTATCTGCTCAAGCTGAGTCACTTGTTTGCCAGACCTGAGAGAGTACCTGGTGTTCCAAATCATGTCTAAGATCTCTCCCAATCATGCAGTTGGTCCAATAAAAAATATCAGCCCCGAATATCCTTGCTTTTTGACAGAAAACCAAAAATCTTCCCAAATTAATTTGGAAAATCACATCATTTTAAGGTATCATTGGATCTGGAGTCGAATACAAACTGTCCAAAGTTTGGAGTTGCAGAGATCTGGGCCTCATATGTGAAATATTTGAACAAGCACCTCCCTCACAAGAAACAGGGATCATAATTGGCACTGACTGGTATCCCTTCTTTGGCGAGCTTAGCCAAAGTCTAAGGATTTAATGTATCACAGGTGTAGTCACTGCCCGCCTGTCTTAAGCACTTCTTCATGACCCCTTAGGCTTACTTACCCGTAAGTTTTGGATGGTCTTCTCATCTCGGTCATCATCCCTGTAGAATTTCCCCAGGACAACTTTAAGTTCTGCTGTCTTGATGACAATGGTCTTCCCTAAATCAGTGACACAGTGTGCTGCTACAACCACAGTGCGCTCATTTACCAGGGCTCCACTGCAGATCAGGATCCATGTTCCCTTCCGAATGTTGCTCTCCTTTACTCCATTGGCTTTCCGGTAAATGGCAACTTGCCATGGCCACCTGATAGATGAAGTCTTCTGAAGAGTGACATTTTCAGTTTTTCCACAGACTGTGAAAATAGGAACCTTGAATGAGATACTTAACAAGCAGCACATCTTCACTTCTTGATTCCCAAGGAGGGTGTGCTTTAAGAATTAGGCTTCTTTGGTTAGTGGAAAATATTACCAATTAATTCTTACCTCAGACCTTGCAAAGCTCCCCATTGAGGAAAAAGCATTGATACAAAAGTAAAAGTTTATTAGGGGGTTTTTTTCATTATTATCTGAATTCCTGACAAAAAAACAGGGATGTAAATTTTGTATCTGAGTTGGTAAACTTCATGACAATTTTATAAGGCTGTCCTATAACTATATAATGACACAAAGAGCTGAATGAATCATTAGTACACCATAGCTGTACTAAAACTTTGTTTAAGCCAATAGGTGTCAGGCCATGGTTGTGGCCTTGATCCTAGAGCCTCAACCTTCCTGGCACAGCTGCTCATCCCAGTCTGTCACCTCCCCAGCTGACCACATATACTGGACACTAGTGGCCAGAAGTGCCCATCTGGGCTAAGCCACCCACCCACTTTCTGCCACTGGAATGGCTAGGCAGGGTCAGCTTACCCTTCATCACTTTCAATATAAACCTCTGACCCAGAAGTCTTGGCAACAAAGCTTAACCTTTACCTAGGCTGCTGTGCTATTTTTCCAGGCTTGTGCCTCCACCAGCTCACCAGGTCTGTCTGATCCCTCAGCTATCCAACCTGGATCACCCTCAGACTTGTGCTCTGCCTGAACTTTCAGTTTCCTAATCCTGCCTCAACCCAACCCCCCGCTTGATCTCCTGGCCACCTGACCCTGCTTGCTGTCTAACACGCTGCCCAACCTTCAAGCTCTCTTATTTGGCTTCTCAGATAGACCTTCTGGCTTCCCAACACTTGGGTACTGTGTACTCCTGGTCCCAGATGGTCTTCCAGATCTGGCCGTCCACAACCAGGCACAACATAAGACTCAAAAACCCATCATAATCAACCATGCCAGAATCAACCAGAAATGGGTCATATCATAGAAATGGGCCTTAGAACCAGAGGTTTTAGCATGATAGGGGACTGAGAGGGGACTTGGTAGCAGCTTACCGCTACATCAGAGGAGTATATCAAGAGCTCGGTGAACAACTGTTCACTAGGGCACCGACGGGGAAGACCAGGAGTAATGGATACAAACTCCTGGAAGACCACTTCAGGCTCAACTCTAGGAAAAACTCCTTCAGGGTTGGGGTATTCAGATTGTGGAACAAACTCCCTCCAGAGGTGGTGCAATCACCTACCCTGGAAATCTTCAAGAGGAGACTGGACAGTCACCTTGCTGGGATCACCTAACTGGGAAGACCTCCAGTTGTCTTTCCTGCCTAGTACAGGGGGGCTGGACCCAATGACCTTGCAAGGTCCCTTCCAGACCCTAAAAGCCTATGAATCTATGATATTTCTAGATTTGTGAAGGTGGGCTCTGAAAGTAATGAGTTTTCTAAAAGTCCCAGAGTTTAATACCCATTCATTCTGGACAAGTTTTCATCCAGAATTAAATTTTCCAACATAAAGCCCATCTTTAGGAAGGCTTAGTAAAAGGTCCCTCCCTAGAGTAGGACCTTGGTACTTTTTTGTTTCCATCCTGAAAGTTTTGTAAGTTCTGTCGAACAGAAAAAGCAAGAACAAAATTACTGTACAGGAAAATATGAAATAATAGCAACATATTTCCAAATCCTATGAGAACATTGTTATCTCTATTGCTGAACTAGAAGATTGGAAAGACTGCTGGCATGTTACACACCTGAAATCTTGACTCCCCACTTGCTGTCACCTACAGAAGTTCTGTGGGTGGTTAGAAAGAGTCATCTATCTTTCAAGTTTCATTGCTCCTTCTCTCCAAGATAGAAATACAGGCAGCCTACATTCTTACGAGCCGCTAACTATCTAAGGTAATACAGGCCTCCTAAGGGAGATGTGAGATTTTCTCAGGGACTCACTTGGAATACATATAGGGGCTCTCCCACTCCATTTTCCTGTCTTCAGGCAAGTCCTCCTGCTACTTCCCAGGCGGCGATAGAAAGAAGAAATGCATTCATATTGAAGCTGAGTATGCAGATGTTGGTACCCTGGAGGCAGGTCTCCAAATGGAAGTGCTGGCTTCTTGGTTGGATAGATTTCAAGCTTCTGTTTGGTGAATGCAGATGAGTAGAGCTGATGCAAAGGTGTCTCCCTGTTTCAGTGCACAAAGAACACGAGTTAATAATGATATGACAAAAAAAGAAACAGTCACTGTCATTGCTTTATCACCAGCTGTGTCAAGCATCATTTGAAAACATAACTACTTTGCTCATATGGTAGAAACATGAGGCAAAAAATCTCTTCAGTACAGTTCAACAATATTCCCACATGCAGCTCAGCCAGTTTATATTTCTTTTTCAGTTTACTTTTTCTGGAAAATGTCCTGTTACCTAGGAAGAGTCTGTGAAGGCGTTATAATTCATGTTATTACAACTCACAAAAGTAATGTGATATCATATATTTAAAATAAATTAACAGTGGCTATTTGTAGAATTAATTATCATTAGATAAGAACTTAAACACACTTTTCTGTAGAAACTGTTTTAATAAGCATTATTACAGGGGTGGGCAATTATTTTAGCTGGATGGCTGCTTAAAGAGTTGTTAAGGGCCACACACACACAATCTTTCAGAAGATGTCATTTAACAAAGCATAGATAAAAAAACAAATCATATACTAAGTATGAAACATCTACATCTACTATAACAGATTTTAATTTTATTTCAAAAAATATTTTTTGTCTTGATTTGTGTTTTTTTGAGTAGTGTACATAGAGGCAATTGCATAATAGCTCAAAATAAAGTCTTACTCTTGTATATTGCGTGTGAGGAGGGTGGAGGGGCTCCAGTGGTGGGGGTTGTGTGTGGGGTATGGGATGGGTGTGTGGGGGAGGTGAGTGTGCATGTGTGTGTGGTGGAAGGGGGGGCTGCCCCTGCACTAGGTCCCAGGAGCTGGCTGGCAGTGGGAGGAGGAAGGGAGGGATGGCGGGGGAAAAGGGCACATGAAGCAGAGCTTGCCTACAGGGGTGCAAGTGCAGGTGTGGTCTGACCCCCACTTCCCCCCCATCTGCCCTGTGGCTGCCCTGCAAAGGGGGCAGCCCACACTGCACTCCTACCTACCCTAGCCCTAGCCCTGGCCCCGGTCAGTACATAGAGCTTTTCAGGAGGGCTGCTTCCAGTGCAACTGCAGCCACCCGGGTACTGCGCAGCTTTCCCCACTTCCAGCAGCTCCTCCTCCTTCTCCTCCTTTCCCTGCTGTGCAGCTCTGGGCAGCAAGCAGTGCAGGGAGCCATGGGGATGTGCAGGGTTCTGGCTCCAGCTCCTGGCCACCTTCCACCCGCTCAGCCACCCACAGGTGGTTCCTCATCACACCAGGCAGCTGAGTGGGTGGGTGGAAGATGGCCAGGAGCTGGAGTTGGAGCCCTGCACATTGGGGCAGCAGCCACCCAGCTGCAGCTTCCTCCCTACTCGGCTGGGCATGTGGTGCCTGTCTCCATGGCTTCCCTGCACTGCCTGCTGCCCAGAGCAGCAAAACGAGGCAGGAGGAGGTGGGAGGAGCCAAGCAGTACCCCAGTGGCTGCAGTCAGTCTGGGAGAAGCCCTGCTGGGAAGCTGTGAACGCTGGCCAGAGTTGGGTGGGAGTACAGTGCAGGCTGCCCTGGGTGGGAGTGCGTGGGGTTCACCCCCATGCAGAGCACCATGGGCCGGATACAATCAATTGGCAGGCAACCCACCACAGGCCAAATCTGGCCCATGGGCCATATTTTGCCACCCCCGCATTATTAGGTATCTATTAATAAAATGTCTTGTTGAAAAAATAACTTGATAATCATCCACTTAGTCTCTGTAGTATGGTAATTAATTATCTCTGGCTATCTATATGCAGCAGTCACTAAACTTCAGATATTGTACTGATTAGATGAAGTATAGAACATATTTCTGAAAACTTAAATGAACCCTAAAAATGTAATTAACCATATACCATAAACTTTTCACTGTACATTTTATTATACTAATATATTAATTCCTCATCATTTAGGACAACATGCCCTTTAGAAGAAATAAGTTTTAAAGGCATAAGGATCTGGTTGCCTGTAGAGAAACCTCACGAAATCGGTAACATTTGAAAGGAAATGAGTTTCCAGTAGGATACCTGGTATTTCCTGTATCCAGCCTGTCCAGAAATGTCATATTCTATCCTGTCCTTCACTAACCCATTTGTAAAATGGAACATCAAGAATATTGTGTGAATAAAGTCAATTTGTGATGGTGATATTCCCAGATACATTATGGTGCTGAAGGCCATTTGTGTGCCTTGGTGGAGTGTACACTAAACAACGTAAAGCTCTTAACGATGGGAGGGAAAACTGAAAAGAAACAATTACCCAGTTCACTCTCCCTTTCAACATCCACTCTCTGCCACTGTGACACAGGATACAGATACTGGGCCAGGTGGACCTATGGTTTGACCCAGTAGATGGCAGTTCTTATGTTCTTATGTTTATGTTGTTAAGATAGTGTCAATTTTTGCGTTCTTTAAAAATACACATCAGTCCTGCAGATTGGCAGAGACAGACACTAAAATAGGTGATGTTAATTAGTCTGTACATTGCAGAATCTCTAGAAAGATATGGGTCTAATTTCTTAAAGAAATAAGCCAAGGTTCCTCCTCCTTCTCCCTCTCCCTTTCCCTCTTGCTCTCGCTCTCTCTCACCCTCATTCCATCCAAGTTTATCCAGCTTTCCCCTTTAGCACATTGACTCTCTTTGGGTAAATGGAACCTACTGCAGCTGCCTAGACACGGATGCCGTCCCCCTCACTTCTTTAGTAAGTCCCCAGAAAAACACCAGTAGCTCCCAAGAATCTATGGGGAGTTCTTGTTCACCATTACAGATCACAACCCAAATTCTAACTGTTGTTTGGACACCTCTAATTGTACTTTTCCTCTTGGCTCTCTCCAGCTGCCTGGACATCTGTACTTAATGAGCCTAACCTTCCAGCACCACCTCATAAAACATTTAATAAGATGGCTGCTCAGCCAGCATAAAGCACACAGGGATGGGAAAAACACATTTTTCCTCCTTAAACTGAAGTAGAAGGATTTCAATCTCACCTTGACTGAACCTGCATTGGAAGCACTCTCTGTCTCACCAGGTCAGAGATCTTTGGCTCTCGGCAGGCTAGAAAAAATACAATGTTGCACAATCCTTTTCCATGTTCAGAGCTCAAATGTTATGGTTCAGATACCTGTCCACCCTTTCCTGTCACTAGCAATAACGAACTAGATTAAGAAAAGAAGCAATAAGTAGATATTGTTATATGCATTTAAAAATATATATAGCAACTTTTCCCCTTGTCTACTAGGAACATAATCCCAACTTTCTTTCCAAGCACAAGAACACTTTCCCCACTAATCTGTCTGTCCCTCTCATACTGTAGTCATCTTTGTAACAGATCTGGATCTTCTGTTTTAGGCAGGGGTAAGACGTCACTGCCCATACTTTCTTAAGACAATAATTAAAAGATCACAACTGATTATTTGACATCTGAGTGAATGTTTGTTAAAATAGAATGATACATACAAAAGCCTAGCCCCCATCTGCCTGGACATGCACGGAGAATCCAGAGGACTGGGAATATGCCACAAAAGCAGCAGGATGTGACAAATAGCTGCCAATTTGTTCTGAGAGGATCCTATTTTAATAAGTATGACAAGAGTGACCTCAATTTGCCCAAGATAACAGGACAGAAATCCCAAGTCTTTACACTTACATATAACACTTATTTTTGAGTGAAAATAATCCATGATTTTTTATGAATTCACCTGATTGTACCAATCGTTTTCCCTCCACTCAAGTGCATTGACTGAAGGCTTGTTTGCAGGATATGTTTCATCTATATGCCTGAGTGTTCATATATTGTATTATTTTATTATACTTGACTGCCTGTGATTAATATCAAGCATTTATCTTTCTGTAACTACTAAAGTTAATGTCAAAAAAGGTATAAGGGGAGAAAGGGGAGAAGTACTTTCCATCTTCAGGGCAGATGCCATCTTCAGGGCATTAAAATGCAGAATATAAGAAAATCCCAAAAGAACAAATAATCCTCCCTTTTGCTCAAATGACTTCTTGGGAAATAATCAGACAGTTCCCTTCTCAAATTCCTTCATTCTACCATGGTTACAAGCACACTTTTACCAGGCCCCACTTTAACACAGTTATTCCCTATATAACAGAACATTTACATGTATGCTTAACTGCTTGGACGGATACATGGTTTAAGCTTGTGCTTAAGTGCCACACTGAATTTAATCTTAACTGGATTTGGAATTGGAATCTTAATCTGAACTGGAAGCCTGATTTTATATAGGCTTATAATTTGAACTGGAAGTCTGAGTAAATCCTTACTCATGTGAGTAGTCCTGTTGCCTTCAAAAAAACTAGTCATTAAGAAGTGGACCCAGTGAGAGAAAATATATATAGCTTACTCTTTTAATCATCTTCCAGTCTTCAGTTGTTTCAATGATCCTACCCATATCTGACCCAAAGATGAAGGTAGGGGAGGGGCAGGAACGGGACAAAAAGGGGAAATGAGATACATTCCTATTGGTTTGTTAAAGACAAAACATGTATTGGAATCACTAGCATCTTCCCTGGCTAAGTTCAGTCACCAGAAAGAGTTGGCAGACTCTCAGCTTCAATATCAGATGTCAATCAGAACTTTTATGGGAGGTTTCTTAGGAAGCTGGTTCTTTAGCCAAAAAATAATCAATAAAGAAAACACCCCTAAAATAGTTATGTGATATTGTAAAGAGTGTAAACTACCTTTTATGCAGATCGGCTGTTTCCCTGACCACACTCCATTGTCCTGGCAGGTCCTCTGCTCATTCCCACTAAGAACATATGAGTTGTTACAAAAGAAAGCCATGACTGTGCCAATTTTTGCATAGCGTCCATTCATACGCCCCGTGTCTTCTACTACTTTTCTGTAACCATTGAGTGGGCCACCAGGGTCTGAGCAGTTTTTTTCTTCCAGAACTGACAAAAGAGAAAAATATTTAAGATTTTATCAAAATCCAAAGTATTAATTTTTAATACTAGAGCATGAATTTCATAGTCCATGCATGCATACATTACCACACAATCTATACTTAGCTGATTTTATTTTTAAATTAACCATAATGCCAGAATTAGCAAGCATTAAAATATTGAAGGGACAATGTCAATTTAAAAAGAAAAAAAATACTAATATTACCTTATATTTTGTTAAAACTGAAAGATTCTGGAACATTTAAAAAAAATGTAATTTAGACCCAAATCCTGCCAATATCAAGCAAAAACTTTAATTGTATACACTGGGTGCATCTACACATGCAATTAACATGCAGAAATATACTCTGGAGCACTTTGAGACGGAGAAAACTGGTCCTGGGAGCAGTGTCTACAAGTGCACCTGGGGCAGCAGCAATTTGAACCAGGATGGACCAGTTAACACCAGAGCCAGGAACATGGGGGGACAGCCCTGGGCTCCAGGTGGCAGCAGAGGGGCTGGCTGGGGCATGAGGGTCAAGCAGGAGTCTGGCACCTAGCTGGCTGAGCTGACTGGGAGCTATTTACAGCCACAGTCACCATTTACACATGTGTTTAATCACACATAATGACTCTGCCATAGGATAGCACTGTCCCCGATACAGTACTATCTTACAGCAGAGTTAATTAGTTTATTGCACCCTAATACCAGTGCACATGTAGACAGTGACACTTTACTAAAGAGCTAATTAGTCTACTCATCAGTAAAGCACATGTGTAGATGCCCCTAGTGAGCTTTTTATTGATCTAAACAGGATTATTTATATATACTTTGGTATGGACACACATACATTGGAAGCTATTTTAAAAAGGGAGAGGGACTCTTGCTCTGAGCCATGCAGCAGCTGTTATAGTCTAAGCGTTACATGCAACCAAGCCCTGAACAATACAAATGAAACAAAACAGCCTAACTGTAACACTTCTTCATCCAGTTTAAATTGGAGCAATATTGCTATATTGGTATCTCTCCATCTGACAGTCACAATGTAATAGCTGCTGCATACTACAGATCAGCATCTCCTCTGTTTTGAAACAACTCCAAATGCAGGTGTGTCCATGCCTTTTCTGTAGTGCACTGGATTACTGGGCTTGAGTAACAGAGCTTTACTTTTGTTTGTATTCAGGGTCAGGGTCATCTCGATTCCTCTCATCCTTTCCTTGCTTATCCTACCGTGATACAAAGATCTCAACTCTCCAGGTGAATGACTGCTAGTATTTAAAGAAATCTAGTTCTCGCTTGGCTGAAACATAAACATGAATGCATTCTTATTCACATTAGGTTCTGTCTCTAAAACCTTCTTTCCTCTCCTCCATACCACCTCTCATTAATTTTCTTTTCCCTTTGTGTATGTTTTTTTTCCCCCACAAAACTGTAAATTGTAGCCTACAGTTTGTTGGCAGTGTTCCTAAAGTGATGCTGATAATTAATTTTCCTATACTTTACTTCCTCAGCTCTCTGTTTGCATTACCATATTGGAAACATTAAAACAAAATTCATTTCCTTGTCAGGAACATCCTTTTCCCTTTGATGACTATTGATTTATTCACCCTCATTTTCTTATGAAGCTAACAGTAACTTAAATTCCTTTCAATGTTGTTTGTTGCATCAGCATCTCAGATCAGGACTTCTCAATTCTTATCTTAGATAATTCTTTTCTAATCGGAAGCTGTTGCCGCTCCATTTCTGGGCAAGGAATCCCGGAAGCCATAAGAGAATTCCTCTTGCTGTTGTTACTTCTTGCTCTCTTGACTGCTTAACACCAGTTCGTGGGATTGCTCTATTCAGAAAAAGACTTATGCGTTGAATTAAATCCCGTTGAAGTCAAGAGTACTTAGGCACATACTTAAGTACCCTGAATAGCTTTTAACTGTGTACTCTTAACATTTCCTTCAATGGGATTTCAGCATGCAATTAAAGTCAAATATATTCTTGAATGCTGTGCTGAACAGTGATTAACTTTATTAGAACATGTGTTAAGCACATACTTAGGTTCTTTGCTAAAGCAGGACCATATTAATGAGGCTGGAGGAGGAAAAAATGGGGTTTTCTTAGCCCAGACGAGGGAGCAAAGGAGCTCTCTGCCTGCTTTTCTCTTAGCTCCATTGTTTCTGTCTTTACCTTAATATCCGTTCATGTATATAGACAAACAGTAGTGTCACTAAGTTGGAGCCAACCAGGGGCAGTCCCAGATGCTAACTTGGGTGGTGGGCAGAAAAATAGCAGTTGCTACAGCAGTCACACAATCATACCAGTGACGCAATGGTAGCCAGAAGTTGTTGTTGCCTCCGTGTCTCACAGCTACCCCAGGGACCCACCTACCTTGTTATCCCTCTGTCTACAAATTATTTTAATTACTTTCACAAGACTTCATATGAGGTATGGTACAGCTAGTCACATCTCATAATACTGCAATCCAACCATCCTGTGATGTCACAGAAGGGTAGAGAACTGGAGTCAATGATTTTAGATATTCCTAACTCTACATGCCTACAAATACTTGACCTGTCTGTGGGTACTGTGGATTTGCCATCTGGTCTGTCATGTCTATCGAACAGAAGGGGCGAGCAGGTAGAAACCTCCTCTATCAGCCTACTCCTATAAAGCAGTAAAAGGAAAGCACTCCCAGGAGTAATACTTTATTTGCATGCTACTTTCCACAATGATGTCCACCACGATGTCACTGAATGGTTAGGAGAGCCCTGGTATTTCTAGAAGTAGCTGAACTCTGAATGAAACAAGCTGGCTGATTACACTTGAAAAAGGCCTGCTTCTCCTATTGCATCCTGCATGTAGCTGATGTTATAAAAATACTATCATTTACATAGGGTCAAGTTGGGATATATCATGTATATGGGATAAAGACTTTGCTGAAGGATGAAACAGAGGGAAAAAGAACTGGGAAAAAGAACATATGTTAAAATGAGCTTCAATGATAATTGTGAAGAGGTGGATTTTGGACAAGTACTGACACTACTGAGGACGACTGGCAGACTTAGCCCCAAAGCATTTATTGTTGCTGGAAAATGTCTGCCTATCCAGAAAGATGCCCTGTTCCTGCTGGATGACCTCTAGGAGCTCTTTTAGGAACAATTTCCAAACACTGATCAAAATATTTTCTCCTGGTTGGTACAGCACTTTTGCAAACTACTGGAAAGCACTGCTGTAACCTATGCAAAGGATTCTGGAATCGAGGAGGAAAATAAATCTAATGGAAAAAAACTTAAATGGAGGTACCTGTTAGGAAGAAAGATTTGATAGGAGACTACTTAGCTAAGTCAGTGAAAAGGAGAGACATAGGTTTTAGATGGTGATAAAGGACTGGCTCTTCTAGCAGCAAGGCAACACTGACAAAAAAGCGTTGCTCCCTTCCTAATTTTGCCTGGGTATGAAATCTCTATTGTCCCATTACTCTGTCCTCTACACAGTAAACCACCTAATAATCACTTCCACAGTGCAACACATCTCTTCGTATGAAATATCAGATCGACAACAACGCTAGAAATAGCTATTAGATTCATTAATGCCAAAAGCTGCATGGCCCTCATTTGTGTTTCAGGTGCAATGTACACTTCCAAGCTTAGCAGTCTTTCAATGGGACCTTTGCCTGAGGAAGAACTGCAAAGCTGGGAAACAATACACAAGATTCAGATTTAGAAACAGGAAACCAGATTCAGATCCACCAAAGTGTCTTAAGACTATAGAGACATTAGAACATCATATCAAGTCATGGATCTGTCAAATTCCAGCTGAGGTTTGGACACTGGTTTAATAAAATCCAATAGACTGATTTCATGACAGTTCAATGGCCAATACATGATACAAATCAAAACTTAAAATGACCTTACCACATTCAGGATGATGTGTTGACCAACTCCCATCAAGCTGACAATAGGCAACATGGGTGCCATTTAAGTTGTAACCTGCGTTGCACTTGAAGTAAACCTGGGCCCCGTATTTAAAGTCATCTCCTTCCACAGTACCATTAGCAGGAGCACCTGGAGTCCTACACATCACCACTGACAGTTCAGATATTTCAAAAAAATCTACTTTATTACAAAAACAGGACTGTGTTAGGATGATACTTTATTTAGAATATTAAAATATATTAAATTAAAATGGGCACAGGAATCAAAATTACAAGACAGGTAGATGCAGATTTTAAGTTATAAACACCTTTGCATGCACTTAACATTAGTAGTCCCATTGTTTTCCATGGGATTAGGCAAGTGTTTAAAGTTAACACATGCAAAAGTGTTTTCTGGACCGATGCCTTTAAATTGCTAAATTACCACTATTCAAAGCCTGATCTATTTTAAGAGCAATGTTAAATTAAATACTACTCTGCTCAACAAAGAAATGCTAAACAGACTGTGGAGTCTGGAACCAACAGAATTTAGAGTCTGGAAACCTTTATATTTAAATTCTTTAATTTTGTTTTTCCATTTTCATATATTCTTTCAGATTCCTCGTACAGGAAAAAACATTTTCAGCTTTGTTTGACTTAAACATTACAGTCACACTACTAAAAATGAACCTTGAAAATGATAAATTATATTGAACTGTCCTACTGCATTTATCCTATTAGAAAAATACTGATCATTCCATAGAAAACATAACTGTTGCAAAGGGAAAATAACAGATGTATCACACTAAGGAAAGCTTCCTTCATCAGCATAGAGAGCACAACAGTCAGTATCTGCTTAGCTAGCCATCTGCCTGTTTACCTATCTGTATGGGTCCCTAATCTTCACAGATGCACTACAGAAGCCAATGAGTTTGGGTTCTGCATTTTCTGTTACTCCATGTATGACTTTCTTTGAATCTTAATTTACCATATTTATTCAAATATAAGACAACCCCAAGTATAAGCTGACCCTCCAATAATTAGATTTTATATATGTAAAATTTATTAATTTATGATTTTCCAGGTATAGAATTTAATTATTGGAAGTTTGCCTTTAATTTGTCCCCCTCTCACTGCTAGAGCAGGGAAGATAAATCTGGGGAATCAAGTAGCCCCTTTGTCCTCTGATCACCCACCAACTTCTTTCCCCTGCAGCCCCTTCCCTCCATCCTTATTGTCAGACCCTGCTCTCCCTGAGTGCATGAAAGTGAGGAGCAAATTTGAAAACACTGACCTTGAAATAAACATATCTGTAGTAATTTGCATAGGCTCCAGCAGTCAACAGCATTTCTCAGTATGTGTCTGTACACCAGATACCCCTCACAAAGGATCCATGTGCTAATTAGTGCGCCGCCCCTTCCCCTCCCCCCCCTCAACTCATGACTGCAACCAGCTGTTCTTGTCATGCGTCCTGGGTTCTTCAAAAAAAATATATGCAGATGTGGACTGATTGGGAGACCTGAACTTTTTCAGCCTCCACAAGAGAAGGCTGAGAGGTGATCTCGTGGCCGCCTACAAACTCATCAGGGGGGACAGCAAGAAATAGGGAATACAATGTTTACCAGGGCACCTGTCGGGGTAACTAGAAATAATGGTCACAAACTGGAAGAGAACAAATTCAGATTGGACATCAGGAAAAAACTTCTTTACAGTGAGGGTTGCCAAAATGTGGAATAAGCTTCCAAGGGAGGTGGTCCTGTCCCCTTCCTTGGAGGTTTCATAGTTTCATAGTTGGTAGGGTCGGAAGGGACCTGAGCAGTTCATCAAGTCCAACCCCCCGCCATGGCAGGAAAAAGTACTGGGGTCAAACAACCCCAGCAAGATGTTCATCTAACCTCCACTTAAAGACCCCAAGGGTAGGAGCCAGCACCACTTCGCTTGGAAGTTGGTTCCAGATCCTAGCCACCCTGACTGTGAAGTAGCACCTCCTGATGTCTAGTCTGAATCTACCCTCTGCCAGCTTGTGACCATTATTTCTAGTCACTCCTGGTAGTGCTTGGGGGAACAGGG